TCATAAAGCTGACTGTCCCTGGAAGCAGCAGCAAACAGAGCAGACTGACCGACTCACTGTTGGTTAGTTTATGATGTTTGGTAAAATAGATCTGAGTTGTGTTTAAAGTTTGGTTAAAGTTTGGTGCTGAAATATCACCATCATCAGAACCAGACAACAAGCCTGATGGGTTCATGGTGAAGGTGGGACTGAGGCAGGGAGGGGTATATCTGCAGTGACAGAGCTGAGTTAGATTATACAGAACAGCATTAATAAATATCACAGTATCACTCGTTATAAATGTTTTATAATATTCATCTGTAACCTGTTTGTCTCCAGGTTTGAGGACCAGAGGAGGTTCAACTGACCAGCAGGTACTGATTGGATCTGTGCAAAGCCTTAAGGAGGAAACACAATGAATTAGATCTTATGTGTAAAAAACTTAAAATAGTTTGGTAAATGTGAAAATTTAAATCAACTTAAACTTAAAAAGTGCTGCTTTTTTTTTTTTTTTTTTCCATTTAGAGCCCGGTGTATGAAAACTTTCCCTCTGCGGAGCTGATTTACCAGAACGCCAAACCTGTCAGCAAGAACAAGAAGTAGATCCAAGAGGTGATTTAGGTCTGGCTTAAGGGACGCCTTATCTTCTAAATGTGCTTAAAATGGAACCTTTCAGATTAAAAGAGAGAATAAAACTATATCTATGTGAAGAGAAATGAACTAAGATGGTTTCAGATATTTTATACTGGAAAAATTGGCCTGTTTGTATCTTTACTTCATACTTCATTGTGTTTTTTTTTTTGTTTTTGTCTTAAAAATGTTTACATTTTGGATCCTTTTCAGTGATCCTGCAGTTTTTGGTCCTGATATTCTGAGCAGCTCAGTTCTGCCTGAGATAGAAGACGATAACCAGGGCTGGACAGGGACAGAAAAATGGCCGACACCAGCCCCCCCCGGATGAAGATGATGAAGACTATGAATGGAGACAAACTGTCTTTTTGATGTATCTGTATTGTCTAATAATCTAAACCTACAGCCTCCTCCTGGTTCTGTTATTCTATAGAAGCACAGAAACCAGATGTTGCTTCTTCTCCTTCACCTCATGAACAACTTTGAAGAAGATCCTGATGTTTGGACGGGAGGAATAGAAGAGACACCAGATCATTGATTCTGACAGACGGTCACTGAGTGACTGTTTTTATCACGTCAGGCTAAACAAATGAGCAGGAAGAATAAAGCAGTCTGTGCAGTTTACTCTCTCTCTCCTGCAATTCTGTCTCTCTACCTTGTTTTTTTTACCGATGCGACAAAAAGCTTCATTATGAAGCCCAAAGAGTCTTCATTGTTTTTTATTCCAAGAGAATCTGCCACTCACAGCCACAGTAGGACACATGATCTGAAGCCATTCTATGGAAGGGTTAATAAAGGCCATTTATAGTTTTTATGATGACTTAAGCACAATTATGGTAAACTCTACACACAAATAAGAAAACCTTTTATCAGATCAGCAAAACATTTTAGTTGTCTTGCAAAATCTTATAAACCTCTTTAACTCTTCAAACCTTTGTAAAGATGTATTTTTCATATTGATAAAAACACACAATGTGCCATTGACACACTGATGCTATCTAATTAAAGAACACATCTGGCGTTAGCTTCCTCTGTGCACCAGGTAAACTGTGTCAGATCGAGGTCAGACTTTCGTCACAGTTCTCTAAACATACGGGGATCACAACTTCAAGTATTTGTGTTTA